AACTGAATTCTTGAGAGATCACATCCTTACCGAAATTATGCTTACAAACGATCTGCAATGCAATCAATTTTTAATGGAAGCTTTGAGATATCAGCTAACACCACGAACCCAGCGTCCATCATTTTGGTCTCACACCAAACAGGTGCCTACAAATCGAAATGGAAAGTTTCTTGTTGTGTTCGCTGGTGGTAGGCATATAGACAATTCGTGCCCACAGCGTAAGTGCAAAGTCTACGATGCAACCGATAACAACACGTCGCCTATCCCAGATATGTTAGATCCTAGATGTGGAAATTCCGTAATCTCTTTAAACGGTAAGGTGTATTCAGTGGGAGGATATTACAAAATTGGATTGGAAACCGCGGAGTGTTACGATCCGGTTAATAAGAAGTGGACTCATATCGCGCCCATGAGCGCTAGTCGCTATAACTTTGGAATTTGTGCTTGTGATAATATGATTTATGCTATCGGTGGTTGCAGGCATTCAAGTGTTGAAAGTTATAATCCTGCAACCAACAAATGGTATATGTGTCCAGATATCCCTGAGGTCAGTTGGCGCAGTCGTGCAGCTGTGATAAAACACAGCATTTATAGCTTGAATGAAAGTGGTAATGGCATTATTTCGTGTATCCGTTTCGATTCGAGAGAGGGACGATGGTATAGTCTGAATGATATGCCAGGAACTCTAAGGAACGAATCTTTTGAATTTATGTCTTACGATAACTCGTTGTTTTCTATTGCGAAGAAATGCTCACGCCTTGACATACGAACAAATAAATGGGAGGCGATGCCTTCTATGCTTTTCAAAAGGTTGCGCTTTTCAGCTGCTATCATAGCAGATGACATATACGTGTTTGGTGGTGCGGACAAAAATTGGGAGTACATTAACAGTGTGGAACGATATAATATTCATAATAATGAATGGACAGTAGTCGACTCGCTCGAAGTTGAAGTATATAGGGGAGGAGCTGCAGTAATCAGCGGCGATTTTAGTTTGAATTGAATCCT